CTCAGAGGAGGAGACCAGGAAGGCTTCTGGGAGGAGGTGACATCTGCACTGGTTACCTGGGCAGACTGAGGAGTTAACCGGCAGGTGGCGTAGACCCAGCTGTGCAGGAAAGGCCTGGGCGCTGAGAACCAGGAAACCTGGCCATCGGAAAGAGGAAGCAATCTAGGAGCACAGGTGGGAGCCGTACCCGAGCTGGGACCCCACCCTGCCCAGAACCTCCCGCCCCTCCCACCCTGCCTGCCACACTCTGGCCACGCCCCTCCTCAGTCAGCACTGCCCAGCTCTTGGCTGCTGCTGATGCAGCGATCACCCACCCTACCTCCCAGCCCGGGTTGGTTCTAGGGTGGGCAGGTCTAGCCTGATTTAGGCCAGGGAGAGGCTCCCAGAGGCACCCTTGTGGCTCCCGTGCTCTCTCCTGTCCCTCCACGACCAGGCAGCCTTTTTGCAACCACGAGGGAAGCCCCCCAAGAATGAGGGTGGGGAAGAATCCCAGAGAAGCACAGCCTGAGCCCTGATCGTCCTGTGCCTGGAGTCCACCCTCTCTTTGTGCTTCCTGATGTGTGCGATGGAAGCTTCCTTCCCCGGGAAGCCCGGGTGGTCCTGCTTTCTTCCCCTTGTTCCTCGAAGCGTCCATTACCCACAGGGCCTAGAGCATCTCCTAGAGCTCAAGTCCAGCTGTGCCAGTCCCTGCTTGAAGCCGCTCGGGACTCGCACCCTTTACAAGGACAGCCCATGCTTCCTGGAGGTCCGAAAGGCCCCACGGGCTGGGGTCTCCCGCTGTGGCCTTGGGTCCACCCACGCTGGCCCCTTGACTGTGCCTAAGCACACTGGGCACACATCTGCCTCAGCGTCTTTGCTCCCGCTGCTCCCTTAGCCAGGGACGCTCAGGCTGAACGGTCTTGCCCGCAGCCTCCGCGAGGGCCCCGCTCAGCGTGGTGCGCGGTGAGGACAGCCTGGGTTACATCGCATCCACACGGCCGTGACTCTCAGTGGCCTGAACGGTGAAGACGTGTTTCTCGCTCATGCCACACACCCACTGCAGGTGAGGGGAGAAGGGGTGAGGCTCTCGCTCCCCGTTGTCCCTCCCCGCCCCCCAAGTGACAGGCCGCACCAGCACACGAAGCTGCCTCAACGAGAGGTTCGGCGTCCTGTGCCGTGGGGGAGGAAGCGGGACATCGCCTGCCGGCCCTTCAGTGCTTTGGGCTGGGAGTGCCCTGTCTCTCGAAGTCCACGGCATCGCCTTTTTGGTTGTGCAGGAAAAGCTTACAAAACGTCAGATTAGCTATTTTCAAGTGTACAAGCAGGGTATTGGGTGCATTCCCAGTGTGGTGAGGCCGTCACCTCTGCTGAATTGCAGAGCATTTCCATCACCCCAAAAGGAAACGCTGCCCCCCAGCCCTGGCGAGTGTGCCGCTCGCTGTGTCCATGGATTTACCTGTCGTGCACACCAATGGAGCCCTACAGCAGCCGTCCTGTGTGCTCTGCCCGTGCGTGCAAGGCTCGCCCGTGTGTGCAAGGCTCGCCCGTGCCAGACCAGCGTCCACGCCTGGCTCCTTCTGCCCTGGAGGGACAGGGGGCGGTCACGCCTCTTTCCTTCCGTGATGGACGCCGGGGTCACGCCCACCTTGGGTGGGCGGGAGCAGGGCTCCCTGGCACATGCCTGGGCAGGTTTGGTGGGCGTCCCGTTTTCAGGCCTTGGGGCACGCACCTACACCTAGGCGTCTCCCCGCCACCCGCCGTCACCCGTGTGGGCCGTGGCCCCAGGGCGGATGATCCTCCCCCTCGCCTCGTTCCCTCGGGCCACGTGGCCACTCCGTCATCTCACCCGCTCACGAGAAGAAGGGCCGGGGCAGGCAGGACGCTTTAGAGAGAGCGCACGTTCTCGCGACTTCCACGACGGTATACCTCTCGTCGCTGCCTTTTCTTCTCACTTGGGGGCCCAGTCTCTTCCTGTGCCCGGTTGTAAATCAGGCCGGGGCTCCCAGGGGATGCCTGAACTCGTGGGTAGTACGGAGCCCTGTACACACTAAGTTTTTCCCTGTGTGTCCGTACTTATGAGGAAGTTTAATTTGAGGGGGCTCCTGTACAGTGATTGGGGGGGTGGTTCCTATGCAGTGATTTAGGGGGGCTCCTGTACTCTGATTGGGGGGGCTCCTGTGCACTGACTTGGGGGGGGGTTCCGTACACTGGTTTTCCTCTGCAGCCAGTTGTTCCTGCTGTGCTGTTTCCCACCAGAGAACCGAGGGTGTAGACAGGCTGTGTCAGAGGATGAAGTGTGTTTTGCACGGAGGGACAGACGCTCGTGTCCACCGAGCTCCCTGGCGGCCCTGTGTCACCGTCTCCTCCCTGATGCAGCCGGAGGACGGGACAAGTCCAGGCCTGGCACACAGCAGGCGCTCAACTGAAGCTCACTGAATCACGAATAAAGTCGGAGCGATAATGTAAACCGACTCTGAAGAAAATGCCCCAAGAGGAGTTTCGATGCTGCGGTGCCCGGGGTGGTTGGCTGGCCTCCTCTCTGGCGGGGGCATCTCCCCGCCATTGAAGCTGGAAAAGCCCCCAGCAGGGCTCGCTTACCTCCGAGAACAGGGTGCTCACCACCTTGCCAAGAGTGGGGCCACTTTTGACTTCCTCCTCTGAGCTCCAGGGAAGCGTGGGAGCCCCCCACGCCCATCCCATTCTGAACTCACTCAGTTCTTCGTTACCTTGGGCCATTGCCCCGGACTGACCCCCCCCTCTCGTGGGGTGCCCCCTGAACGTGTCTTCAACACCCAGGCAGGCGTGGCTAAAGCATCGGTGCTGGGGGGTTTTGGGTTTGCACTGGGTCCTCCGTTTCTTTGCTGCTCACTTTGGACGCGTTCTGCCTTCTGAGGCTCAGTTTTCTCCTCTGTTGAATGGGGACCGGAAGAAGGAAGATGAAGCAGGAAATGTGCTCAGTTCAGGGCCTGGCTGAGTACTCAGTAGATGCCGGCTACAACTCCGTCACCGCACCTAAAAGCCCCAACCTGAGCCCTCGAAGGACACCCAGCACCTCACAGCACGCCCCGGTCCTGGGAGTGTCACGTATCCCTGCACCGCTGGACCTGTGCCGGTGTTAATCCCCTGTCTGGGCTGCCCTGCCCACCTTGTTACCCGGACCCCGAGTGTCGGCCTCCCCTGGGGCCCTGCCATCACCTCCAGAGCCTACAGATGGTGACTGGGGGGCCTGGGGCCACTCGGGGTGTGTGTCCGGCAGTGGGTGGGCACCCTTCCTGTGACAGGGAACTCACTACACCGTGAGGCCGTATTTTAAGTCATGGAAGCTTCCTGGGAATGAGGGCTCAGCCTCCCTACAAACTCTACCGCGGAGAGGGGGGTCAGCAACCCAAGGCGGTGTGAGATCCTGAGTGTGAGGAGCCCGGGGTCCCCACTTCTGCCAAGGGGCCACCGCGAGCTCGTGCTCTGGCAGGCCATGCTGCCCCCTGGTGGCCGCCACCTGCAGATGCCGAAGCTCTCCCGGTCTCTGCGTCTGCGGCTCAGTCACTCTGCTCCCGTCCCCGCCAGCCAGCGATGCAGGGGCTCCGGGCAGGGAGTGCGTCGCGGGCCCCGTGGAGAAGACAGACAAACAGACACACAAATGTGGAGGATGGGCGTCTTCAGGCTCGGGGAGGCCTGGTGGGGGCCTCTCACAGTCCCCGGGCTCGGGCGGGCCCTGTCCCGTGGATGCGGGGGGTCCGAGACCCCCGGTTCCGTCAGGGTTCCCTGGCCTGGACCCACTGTTTCCGGGAAGTGTTGTTAATGACCGCCCAGGTCTCAGATCGCGGGGCCCCGCTCTTCCCACAGACACCACGAGAGGGCGTCCGCGAGGCGCGCTGGATCCCAGAAGTGTTTCCCCCTCCCCCCCGCCCCCCCGCCCCCCCCCACCCCGCCTTACAGCTCCGGCTATTGCGGTGGGTGTGGGGGGTCTTGCGAACGCGGGCATTGTGGGTGTCTGGGCCTGTTTGCTGGTGGGAGCCGCGCCCAGGGGGTCCTCCAGCCTCTGGAGGGCATGGCTTGTGCAGTCCAGGAGGTGGTTTTGGGCTGGCGTGCGGGGGGCTCTAGGTGGGGAGCTGGCCCAGCAGCAGGTGCAGGCGGGCCCAGGCCGCGGGGTTGGGTGGGGGACATACCTGGCTGTGGCTGTCCTCAGGGAGGACTTTGCATGCATTGGAGCACTCCTCTAACATTGGCTTGCTGTGCAGCCTCCCCAGCAACGCGTCCTGATTCCCGGACCTGGAGGGCCTCCCCGGGCGCTCCTGACTGCTGTGACTGGAGGGCTGTCCGGGTGGGCTCCCGGCCCCCCCCTCTGCAGCCCCCAGGGCAGCCTGGAGCAAGCACTCAACAGTGCTTGTCAGAGCCAGGGTCTCAAGCCAGCGAAGGGCACAACGGCTGGAACCCCGGGCTTAGCTGGGGACCCTCCTCCCCCAAGCAGGGGCTCCAGGTCCCATGCCCCCAGAGCTCCCACACCCCGCTCCACCCTGGCACTGGGAGGGGGGACCACCTGTCTCCCCCGCAGGGACCTGAGCCCCCTGGTCGGCAGCCCCGTCCTTCCCACACTGACTCGGGGCAGGCCCCTGTGACCCATGGGCGATGGCCACGTGTGGCTCCTGAGGCTCGATTATAAGTGCCTCGATTATAAGCCACCACCTTGCCCCCTGGGATCCCTAGACCTGGGGGAGCCAGCCACTGTGTCGGGAGCACCGCCCCGCACAGTGAGGGACAGGAGCCACGCCCGTGGGCCGCACGGCGGCGGGTGAGCCAGCCTGGATGCAGGTCGCCTCACCTCGGGCGGGCCTCCCACCGTGCAGCCCAGCTGTGACCGCGGCTCACCGGACGGCCCGGCCTGGCCACTCAGAGCTCCTGCCCCACCGACACCAAGAAAGGCCCGGCGATGATTGGCATTTCGGGCTGCCGAGTCCGGGACGACTTGTTCCACAGCGTCGTTGACCGGCGCACGGCTAATACGCTACAAAAGTTGTCATCATTTGAGTCACACGATTGTACTCCTGGACGTTCGGAGGGACAGAAAAGAAACGCCACCATCACTGCTCCTTCCCACACCTGTGCTTCTCAGAGTCCGCTCCGCTTCCTGTTTGGAACGTGGTGCTTGTCTGCTTGCCCCGGTGGCACGGCCTGGGGCACGGGAGGCGTATTCGGGGTGACGCCAGGTGAGGGGGCGGCACGGGGGAGCCAACACACAGGGGCTCTCGTGCTTCTGGATGCCCCCACGACGGTTTGTCTGCAGACAGGAGGCTGGGGCGTGTGCCCGCTGGTGAGGCCCGTCCTGGGGCGTTAACGCCTTCGGGGCTCGGTGCACACCGGGCTCGGGCACCGTCAGGGTGGGGAGGGGCCACGTGTGCCACTGTGGCCGAAACGGCGGGGGTCGGGGGCGTGACGTGGCCACCAGGGCGGCGGCGGCGGGGGGCACACTTCTTCTGTACGTACACCGTGCTCCTGCATGGAACTCCTGCTTTTGCCTGACTTCACATTGACCAACAAGTTCTTTCTTTGCTCGCGTTTGACCCTGGGGCTTGAGGATGACCTTTAGAGGACAGTCCTAAGAATGTTCACTGAGCACCTGCTCGGTGCCGGACGCACGAACCTGGCACTAACGAGCACTCTTCTCCTCTGAGGTCGACACGACCGCCATGGCCCCACTCTCTGGATGAGGAAACTGAGGCGAGGAGGGGTTAAAGCACACGGCCCGCTGGCAGAGGCTCAGAAGTGGAGGCCGGGGCCAGCGGCGCACCTGTTGCCCCCGTGACTGGCTCTTGGCCCCTCCTCGTGGCCCTGCTGCTTCTGGGGCCGGGGCTGTTGGACTGGAGGCCGCTTTCTGGAAATCCACTTAGCACTGACCTCATCTCTGTCCTCCTCGGAGCTAATCTGCTAATCCCGCCCGCCCCCAGCGGCCCCTGCACTGTCTGGATGTTCCTAATACCTTCTCCTCTGCCCACCCCCTCCCTGGCCGGGGGAGGGGGGGGTCTTCTCTGCTCTGCTTGGGGGGAGGGTGGTGGCAGGTCCAGTGACCAGGAGCTGGCGCGGATGGGATCTGTTCCGGGCACCACTGCTCAATCCCCGGGAGGATTCTGGTGGCTGGCGTTCAGGCCTGGGTTCTGCCCCTGCCTTTCCCGTGCATGGTCATCACCTGTTCGGGCCGCGAGTTCTCCTGCATGAGAGGAGGTCAGTTCTGAGCGCCTTCCCCGCTGTGAAGTCAGGATTCTTCCCCACTCTCCCTGTCGCCCGCCTGTCCCCCGCAGTGTGCGGGCTCTGGCCCCCCGCAGACCTGGGTTAGAACCCTGGCTCTGCCTGAAGGGAGCTTCGGTTTCCTAACCCGCACAGTGGTCCTTCTTCCGCAGGGCATGGTGTGTGCTCGCTGGGAGAGTCCCCGGCACAAGGTTGGCGGGGGACAGAGCCTCCTCCCTGCCCACACCGAGGCCACACGGGGGGAGATGAAAGGGACCCCAGCCTGCGAGCCCATGGGGAAGGCCACGCCCCCCACCCCACAGCGAAGGGGGCCAGGATAGAAACTCCCTGAGATTTTGGGCAGGGGAGGAGAAAGAGTCTGAAAACGAGGGGAGGGGTGCAGGTGGCAGGTCAAGCCAAGCATTAGAAACAGATTAACAACTGAAACGGACCTGAGGCCCCAGGGACAATGGGCTGCCTTGGTGGTCGCTGAGACCCCCATTTCAGCGGACGGTTCCTTTTTCCCAGGACCTCAAACCTGGAGCGACCCTAGCTGTTTCCCATTGTTCTCTGCGTGAAGGCACTGAGGACAGGGAACCCCAGCTTTGTGGTTAAACAAGGGGAGGTCTGGACTAAGTCTACTTCTGACTTGCTGTGTGATCTTTGGAAGTTGCTTAACCCCTCTGTGCCTCATCTACAAAATAGGGGAACAACGGTCCCTACCTCGCGGGGCTGTGTGGGGATAAGCTGGTGAACTGAGATTCGAACTCAGGTCTGCAAGGCTCTGTCCTTTGTCCTCCTTCTGACTCTTAAGGAGGCATTGGGGGCCTCTGGGCACAGTCTGATCACCCCATCTATGAATGCGCACACATCTGTGCCGGACGCTGGTGTGAATCCTGGGGACACAGCTGGGGACACAGGTGAGGTCCTCACCCAGACCATGATCGGTGTTGTGTGTAACTGCTTGGTGGGGGGGCTGGGGTGGGGGGGATCTCTGGCAGAGCTGAGTGAGGGGACGGCCAGTGGAGACTGAGCTCTCAGAGGAGATGACAGCTGAAAGGGACAAGATGTGAAGGGCAGCACCACAGGGGTGGCCTGGGGCAAGAGTTTCCATGCAGCAGGAGTAGCAAGTACAAAGGCCCTGGGGTGGGATGGACCCTGACTGTTGGAGGAATAGCATGCAGGTGTTCCATGCTGTGGCAGCTTCGTGGCGAGTGGAGGGAGCCTAGAGGAGCAAGCCCTGGCCTAGTCAGATGGCCTTGGGATCAAGGTGCCACCATGAAGGATTCTGCATGGAGAGGGGAGGGCTCTCACTCTTGCCTTCCAGGGGTCACTGTGGCTGCTGGGGTGGGTGGTCGGAGGGGCATCCTCCCCAGGACGCGGAGATAGTACCAGAGCAAGCCTCCAACCTGGGAGGAGAGGCTGGGCTGAGGGTGGGGCTGGTGCATGGACCGGCATCAGGGGACCCTGGCGTTTCCACATCTACCTCTCTGGTGCCCTCTGTCCTGGGCCCTCTCCCCATGCCACCACTGGCCTGGCCATGAGCTCCCTAGTTAGTGCTGATCCGGAAGGGGACTCCCTCACCAGTCCCCAGGGGGGCACCTTACACATCTCCCCGGAGGCTGGCTGGTGGCCGAAATGGCACAGGCGCCTGGCCGGCCCACGGGGCACAGAGAAACGGAGGAGGGTCGGGCCTCCACCAGCCCTTACAGAGGCAGCTGCCGCTTTCTGAGCAGCTCTGCGTGTGGGCCTGCCCTCGGGGTGCGAGGTCCCGGGGGGCCTGATGACTCCCTCCAGGAGCCCACCTTCAGGGCCCCCCTGGTCTGACCCCAATGCCGCCGCTGGGTGACTGCTATCTAGGCCCCATCCTCCCATCAACCCCGCCCGCGCGTCTGGTGCTCGGCACCTATGGACAAATGGAGACGTCGAGGCATCCGGAAGTTTCGTAAAACCCTTGGCCTCCAGACCCCTTCTCGGCCCCCGCGCACCTCGCCCTCTCCATCCTCACTCGGGATCCAACGGACCGTGACCACTCCAAGCGGCCAGGCAGTCCTTGCCTCAGCCGGCGGGCCCTGCCAGCAGCCAAGGTCAGACCCCGCCCCACCCACCGGCTCGCTCCCCATGGCCACGCCCCTTCCCACCCGGGCGGGGCCTGCGGAGCGCGCGCGCGCGCGCGCGCGGCCGAGGCTTGGGGAGCGCTCTCATTG